AAAAGATAAAAAATTGGAGTCCAGTGCGGGCACAGTGAGTGGCTCCGCCACTAAGAAAAAGGATCATAAAATAGAAGAATAAGAGAAAACGAGCTGCCTACTGGAACTTTAAAGAGAGACTACTGGAGAATATATATACGGCAAGAGGCAGAAAAAGGGAGAGAAATTGAGGGGTCATCCATCTACAATTCGGCGAGTGCATGGGAGAAAGTTTTTGGTGATATAGACATGCAAACAAATTTGGTGGCTGGAACAATAAAAAGGAATTGAATTGAACAGTATATACACACAGAGAAGACGACAGCTTTAATTGTGAAATTCATCACGTTTCGTCGATTTTTGGGTGATATCTTCCACTTTTATTCGTTTAATTTCAACATTTGTTAGGATGTGATGAACCCTTTTTATGAAATTTTTGGTTTGAATAATTAAATTGACGATAATTTGTTTAATTGTTTGGATGTTTATTATGATTTAATTTGTTTTTCAATTATTTGGCCAATAATTGAATTGTTTATGGATTTTATTGTCATCTAGAGAAATAATAGGATCAATAGCACATAGTGAAAAGCATTGTAAGGTTCGATAGAGGATACAAATATACCTCTATGCTTCATATGATTTTTATAAGATGTTCTAACTTATTTAATGCATTTATCATGTTAGCGTCTTTCATTGTGAGATATGAAAGTCACATGAGGTGGATAGATTTGATAACTATCGAAAGAGATTTTCAAGTAAAATAGGAACATTGACCAACAAGCATAATTTCAAATTGTCAATTTAAATTGTTTAACTAAAAATGGATTAACAAGATAAATTCTACATCTTAGCAATATTTCTTGCGAATTTGATAAATTTTCTTTACATTGCTTTTAAGTTAATTGATAGATTTAATACTGTTTAGTTATTACTCGATTTTGCCATTCGATTAAGGGTTGTGTTAGCTTTAATTCGATCAAACACAGAGTTTTCATGAGTTCAACACTCTACACATTACTATATTACTTGTTCACGATCTCATTCACTTGCGAATAATCAAACAATCACATACTCGAACTTTAAATATGTTTCTCATCTATATCTAATTTAACCAGAGATTTCTTATGTGTATCCAAATTTACATTTTTTCATAATCCACACCTGACTTCTAAATATGTTCCCCATCCATACCTAATTTAATTGACCACTTCAATCCTACGTGAAAATTGATAGCGTTAACTCCTTTAACAACAAAATAAATGACATTACCTAAATTCTATGCATCATGCTCTTTGTTCCACAAATCCAATCCCACCCTAATCCACTAGTATTAATAATATTGCACTAAATCATTCTTCTTTCCAAAATCGATAGTACCCTCGCTCAAAATGTCAGTTGTCTGTTGCCTCGTGTATCCTCACATCCTCTTTCAACACTGATTAGCCTCTAGCTTCATTTATTGAGTGAGGGCAAAGTAGTAATTAGCTTCTTTTTACGTTTCTAGGATTTCTTTGTTCGAATAGGGGCTTATGGTTTCAATGTAAACTTGGTTATTTTTTATTAAATAATATACTTGGAGCGTTTGGAACAAATTATTGGTTATTTCTCGATTATCACACACGACTCAATGAATTGTGATCACATATTATTACTCTAACTCGTGTTTGCTTCACAAATGAAAACCAATAATTACATCGGACACAAATATCTTTAACGCAAAGCAAAAGTAGAAATTTTCAATGTCGAATTGAATATTTAGAAAATATTGACCGTGTACATGAACTAATTTTGGTTGACAAATGTTCTACCAATTGACAATGGAATCTTTTTCTATCTCCACATGGGAGGTGATAAGGTGTTTTACACACTTATTCATGCTATTAAACTTGATAAGTAATTGTTATTTGAGCGAACTTTTATCCAATTTAATGTAATTTTGTTAAGTGTATGTAAAACCCAAACTTGAATGCAATTGGAACGAAAAGGAATAATTTTGAGCTAATTTAGAATTGGTTGAGAGCAATTAAAGACTAATCGAATTGCACATGATTGATAAGAAGTACTAAGAAAGTAATCGAAAGAAAATATCAAGTTTCAGGATTGATATTCAACTTATCAAAAGTTAGATGACTAAAGTACAAAAGTTAAGAACTAAAGACAGACCAATTTTTGATGATTATGGAGGTTAGGGGACGAATATGGAAGCTTCCAAAAGTTAAAAACTAGAAGGAAAAAATATCAAACTCATATGAAAATCTGGAAGTGGGGACCAATCCGCACAAGCTGGAAAGTTCATGGTCTCTGTTTGTTGTTGTACATCACGGTTTGCTTACTGCAGTGGATCGTGGTTTGGTCTACTTTTTTTTTCCCCCACTTTTCTTGACCCTTTTGACTCCTTTTGGATGCACGATTTTGAAGAGTAGAGAAAATTAGAAAGAATAGGAGAAAAACTCGAGAAAATATAGAAAAACTAGGGTTTTGAAGATTTGGCTTGGGAAAGGAGATTCTACAATATCACTATTTTGCCTAGTTTTTCATCCTTGGTGATGTACTCCAATCGTTTCTTGAATTTTTCTTCTGTCATCACGTGTAACTAAATCTAAAGTTGGGATAAATGATGAAATCTAGTTATGAACCTTTAATTTTAATTCTTAATATTCTTGATTTTAATTCTTTTATATGTTGATTTTACTTTAGTTCTTTATTGTGGATTTTTAACTAAACGAGAGGTAAATTATTATAAATTTAGACCATGTAGTAAAATTCGATTATTAGATAAAATGTAGAGATATATTGATTTGAGATTATTTTTATTTTTCAAGGTTGGAATCTGTTTTAGTGAAATATGCAGATACAGATTATTTCTTTGATCCACATAAAGCTAAATTACAAACATGATACGTGGTTACGGGTGTAGGAACAACTATATCACAAACCTTGACAGTAATATCTTCAAATCATTCTAAAATTATTGCGATCCATAAGGCAGGTCGAGATTGTGTATGATTGAAAAACTAGTCACATCATATCAAAACATTATGCTGATTAGTTTCAACAAAAGACAATCTACCAATTTTGTATGAAGATAATGCAATTTATATTGCACAACTCCAATAAAACTATATCAAAGGAGATATGAAAAAACTTATTTTTTTTCAAAATTCTTCTATATGCATGAGTTTCAGAAGAATTGTGATATTGTCGTTCAACAAATTTATTTAAGTGACAGTGTAACTAATTTATTCACAAAAGTGTTGTTGACATCTCCATTCAAGAAATTGGTTCACAAGATTAAAATGCATCGTCTCAATTAGTTTCAGTGATCAATGTTAAAAGAGTAGCTATACTCTTTTTCTTTCACTTAGGTTTTACACCCTTAAATTTTTTTGACAAGGTTAATGAATCGACATTTATTTTTAATATTTTAATATTAATTATACTCTTTTTTTTTATTCAATTGATATTTTTCCCCAATGAATTTTTATCAGACAATGTTAAATGAGGTAGATATTTTGTAATGTATCATTCAAGAAGAAGTATTATAAATTATATGTTTATTGACGAATGACCATTATATACTTACAACTCTAGTTATTATGACTGTTATATCCACTGCAGTCTCAATTCTTCCCTATAAATACGGATTTTTGGTTTTCAATGAAATACAAACAAGTGTATTGACTTTTCTACTTTATTATCATTTTCTCTTTCTTATTTTCAGCCATACATTCACTAACAAATTAATGTTATACATAAATACAAATTCTTTCCTTATTTTTTAATAATGCATTTGTCAAAAAATCACTATTCCAAAATCAATTTCCTCCAAAATCTATTTTTTAACTGTGCTCAAATGAGGGGCTAAGATTATTCACAAGATACTTGAAATTTTGACAAACGATGATTTAAAGTACATTCTCACTTAGCCTCCATTTGGATATATTTATAAATATCTTTATTTATTCCGTTAAAGTAAAAAATTAGTTTCGTTTTCTTGTTATTAATCATACATTTTGTTAAACTCACCATTGTTTATTTTACTATTAATCTTTATAAATCATTTTTAAATTTTCTAAATTGAGGCTTAGTCAGTGACAGATAATTAGTTCATGCGAATTAGAATTTGGTAAACGTTCTAACATAATGAATAGGTCAATGAGGCTTTATAAATTTTCTTGCATGACCCATATAGATAAAAAAAGAAAAAAAAAAGTATTTTAGAAATTGTTTTGGAGTAAGATCTCACCGAATGGCACCAAAAATATGTTGTAAAAAACGGGTGACATTTTCTTGTTTGAACTTTCGAAAATTATAAACAAAGCATTAAAAGTTAGCCAGGGATTAAAATCAAATTTTTAGTAGATTTTACTAAAAGTTGATGAAATCTACGATTGAAAAATTGTAGGTACAATAAAAATGTGTAATTAAAATTAATTATTGATTTTAACTTGAATTTAAATTTAAATTTAATTTTTACCAAACATAGGCTTAATTTTATTTATAAATGACTTTTTGTTTCGAAATATATATGAATATGTTTTTTTTTTTTTTTTTTTTTTTTTTTTTTTTTTTTAATTATTTATAAATGACTTTTTGTTTCGAAATATATATGAATATGTTTTTTTTTTTACTTTTAAGTAGATTATTTATTTCAATGCTACTTAGTTACTTTGCAAAAGAAGTAAGGACCTATTTCGAATTTTTACAAATAAAAAAAATTAAAAAATTTATTTATTTACTTATAAAATATGCTCCCTGTGTCCTATTTATATAGGCTTACTTTTCTTATTTTCTTGTTCCAATTATATAGTCATTTTTTTGTTGAGCTTGTTTTATTTTATTTGTTAACTTCTATACCATTATTTAATTTGTCTAATTATAATCAATTTTCAACTTAATTTCGAGATTGTACCAATATAAATAAGTATAAACTAGAAGGTTACAAATATTTATCCATAGCCAGACTTGCGTCGGCACCAATCACCAAACTTAGGAATGGGGAAAATGGAAAAAGTTGCTCTCAGGGCACATTTTCAAGTGGTAAAAGGGGGTGGAGAAATCCAGCTTTGCGTGAGACTGCTGTGTCAAGGGTTCGTATTCTGAAATATGGATTTGGCTCTGGGTAAGTACAAGTGTACAAGCAACCTTCCACCGTTTACCCTTGGAGGCATAACCTGCGATTTACCACCCTCACGATGTTCTAGAGAAGGGGGCGATGGGGACCCTTAAGCTTGGGATTCAACCTTTGAAAATGGAAAAAGTCAAGGTGGGTCATTGATTTGATGTGTGAACCAAGGAACAGAACCCCTCCATTATTCCACAAAACCAATATTTTTGCTTAATTTTCTACGCTCTCCTCCTTTTCCCTTTGCTCAATTGCACTGATTCATCGTCACCTTCTTCTTCACTACCCTCTCGTTTCCTTACCTTCTTCCCTTCATTTTTCTTGTCGAATCTCATTGAGAATGTTTAATTCTGTTTGGGTTTCGTAAGAACCATTTCTTATGTGGTGAAAATGATGCTGTACAAGTGTTCTGGAGTTTTTGCAAACATTTTTTTCGATAAAATTCCTGAATAGTTAATGGACTCAGCTCTTCCTCTTGTCACGGTACTTCGGAATGAGACTGTTCATTCCATTGATTTTTTGGTTGAAGAAGGCAGTTACTTGCCCGATTCCTAGCCTGGGGCCAGGCGGACGGCAGCTGGTTAATTTGTCTAAAATCGTCAACATTTGTCGCCGTCGCCACTCGCCAATCACAAGCTGGTTGATTAAGGTTCTGATCAACCAGAACTTAACGGGGATGGCACTAGAACCTGGAAACTTCTTCGAACATGTGCAGATTTTGTTCAAATTTCGGATAAATGAAAAAGGAAAACTTTTACTCATTGCTGAAGGAATTAAGGAAAAGAATATTGACATAATTCTCCGCCTCAGGTTCTTTTTATGAGTCTTGGGTTCTATGAGGTGATTATTGTTTTTACCATAATTATTATTATTATTAAATTTATTTTCTGATTTACGGTTGGAATATTGGATTTTTGTTGGGAAGGAATATCATTTTGAGTAGAAGAAAAGATGCTCTAATTGCAGTTGCACTTATGGAATCTTCTCAAACGATATATATACACAATTGGGTAGTTTTTTATTTTTTACCTTGGAATTTACGAGTTAAACTCGAAAGTTTATTGAATAGACAAAAGGACATCAAAGCAGAGAAAGCTCCAAAATCCCTGCAGATAGAAGCCAAAGACAGCTTAAAGAAATCGTACTTTTAAGTGAATTTTTATTCGAAACATGCTCAAATATGTTAACTTTTCTTATTAAACAAGATATTAATTTAGCTGTAAGGCAGGGATTACTTTCAAAATGTTAAAACTTTCGAAATATTAGTGTTGATACTTTGTTATTATTTCTGTGGTCTTGCATCTATATGATGCTATTGATGTCTGCCTTCTATATAGGGTGCGCAACCAGTGTAGTGATGTTGCAGTGATCCCTGAGGCCATAGTTAATTCAAGCAAGAGGTCATCTCTGAGGTATATACTTATCTCCAATCTTCGACATGTGATCATTTTCGTTTTGGGTAAAAACTTGTGGGAGTTGTCAAACTTTGTGTCAAGTTCTTAGCCCGCAAACTAGAACACTGATGTGTCAGTTACTGATTTGTGTTCAGAATTAGTTAACAGAGTCGGAAGGACTAAGTTGGTTGAAAGAAAGTATAAATTACAAGAGATGCAGATTATTGGCGTAATGATGTATCCAAGCTTGTAGATGTTACAAGCTATATAAGTTTACTGAATCATTTTTTGACAAAATAAAGAGGAAAGAAAAAACTCCTCGAACTGAGGGTGACCATTCTGTGAAGTAAATAGAAGTGAATCCATCAAATGGGTACTCATTTTTTTTTAATTCTTTTTGTCGACGTTATTTATTTATTTATTTATGGACCATATTTTTATTTTCTTTCATTTCCTGCTTCCGCTTAGGGCTCCGCCATTGCCTCTATCTTATAACTAATGAATTCTTGTCAAAATACTTCTAGTGCAAACTGTAAGGTGGAAAATGGTTTGCAACAGGATAACGATACAGATGCTTTTATTCAGAGCAAAGCAGCGGCGTCACCAGAGAGGTAGCATTTTTCACTTTCTCTAGTGAAAACATAAAAACAATTCTAGGTTTATGATTTCCATTGTTGACAAATTGGGATTCAAGAAATGTACTCTGGAAAATTTTAACAAATTGAGATTGAGAAGAGTAAGAAAATTGAAACATCAACATCAATTGCCAATTTTATCATCCAGTTCTTGAGAGCATCATCTCTAGTAATTATATGAGACCAGATCATAACTTCATTTACCCAATAAAACCTTCTGTATGTAAGTAGAATAATGGTATAACATCTTTGTCAAAGGATTTTTGATTTCCTTTCATTGGATTTTTCTTTACACATAGTTGTAGTTCGAACAAAGTGGTGAAAAACGATTATTTTACCCAATCTCAAGTTTTCGAGAACAAGGCTTATTTGGGGTTTTTAGTCCATAAAATTTTTCTTTGTTCTGTATCACCATCCTAAGGCTGAAAAAGCACAATGGAAAATATACAATTGATAGGTTTGTCCTTTGCTCTGCGATAAGGTATTCGTCTGTATTAATATCTGTCCATGGCAGCCTATTCGTGTTTGTCAAAAACGTTCCTGGGCGTGCTGAAGCGCAAAGCATAGCAAATGGCATCAGGTATGTTTCTGTCTCGAAGTATAATGCATGAAATACATCTCTCTTTCATAAGTCTTTTTGCTTAAGTTTAGTGTTTTTCATCGGAACAATTGATTTTTGCTTTAGTCTGTTATATAGTAGCTGCTGAAATTGGATTACTTTGTAAAATACTTGTAAAATCTTAATCTGAAATTCCTGCAAATTGCCATTGGTATAATCTGAAATTCCTTATAGGATGCAGAGTTGCACTTCAGTACTGCATACTAGTCATCACCTTAATTAATGCTCATTTTGCTCAACCTAGTTGTGAAATTAATGCAGGAAGGCAACCACCACTTATGCACCGTTGGACAGATCCAAACATGATACATTTGAGACCAAAATGTCAAATTCAAGTCAAATGGAACCCTCGAGAGAGAGGGAAATGGCAATCCAGATTTTCATCACCCCCGCCGCTGCCGCTGCCGCTGCCGCCACCACCACCAACACTACCACTATCACTACCAGCGGCAGCTTACAGAGCATGGGGAACATGAACATGAACAACCGTCTCACTCTTCCCACGTTCCAAACAAGGACACCACCGACCACGTCTTTCTAATTGTGCGTGCTATTCTGGTCAGTTTTGTTTATATCCTGCTACTAGGACTTAGACTTACTCATTAATGGTGTGCTGTGTACTGTAATACAGTGTTTCCACATCCCCTGCTGGGACTCTTGTATTGTAAACTAGTATTGTATTGTATGTGTGTATTGTATAAAACTCTACAATAATGATTTAAAGCTAAATTCCATCTCCCCACTTGCCTTCTTTACTGGCATGAACTTGACAATATTAACCAGGAAAGTTGGAGTTTTTACTTAGTAGATGAGCACTTGCGAATTTTTCTTTAAATGCATTTGATTGTCAATATTTTTTTTATAGAAAAACGTCATTTTTCACTTAAATTCCTACTTTTGTGCTATTTGATTGATTTTTTTTATGAAAAGTATTTTCCTACTTTTGGTCAGGTGACTATATTTTCCTTGATGTTCTTTACAGGAGTAAGTTAGGGTGCGTTTGATTGTTAATATTTTCCATGGAAAATTTGTGTTTTTCACCTAAATTCCTATTTTTATGCTATTTGATTGACATATTTTTCTATGGAAAACATCTTCTTACTTTTGGTCACGTGACTATATTTTCCTCAAAATAAGGAAAATATTTTCTTTATGGAGAGTAGAATTTTATATTTCAGGAAATTCACTCTTTTTCTCTCTCTTTCATCTACTCACCAATAAAAATTAGACAAGTATAATATTTTCTAAATTGAAAATTAAATTAATCAAACACATGCAAACAAATTCTAGGCAATTTTTTTTTTAATGCAAATTTCATGCTTACAATTAAATGCATTCTTATTATTTTTTAGATAATTCACTTTCATCTACTTCCTCTCTTTCCTATCCATCAACCAATAAAAAATCGACAAGTGTAATATTTTACCACACATGGTGCTTATTGATTATGAAAGCACAGACTTAACATTATCAATTTGTCATGCATAAAATAGAAGTTACAACTCATTATCCGTAAATTCAAGCTCGTGGAAATGACTAGAGTACAGAACCTAGAAACCTATGCAATGATATCATGAATGCACAATAAATACGTGCAAATATTCATGTAGTACTTTTCATATGCAATTGGATGGCATATTTGTTATCATCTTTGGTAATCATGAGATAGATAACACAATAGTGGAAAACAGGGTATCATTTTTCTTTCTATGGTGTGGGAGATTAAGCACCATTTTCTTTGGTTTGGGTAGGTCAGACGGGGAAGTGTTCCTATTATACTGATATAGAATGCATGTCAAGAGAAGTAAAATACTAAGTGGAGATGTTTCATCATTAGTCTTTTTATTGTATCCTTGTTTTTTTTTCCCAAAGTGATATAGCTGCAATTCTTGCCTGATGGATGAAAGATAAGGAACTGACGACATAAAGCCGAGTTGCAGAATGGTGGCACAATGAACTCGAACCTTTTTAGTTGAAGTACACATCTGAGCGTTCAATGACATGTTTAAATACTTTGTGGTGTATTTTTTTATGCTTGTGATTTATTGCATGAAAATAGCATTAGAATTTGTTTTCTTTTTGTCTCCCTTTTGTATACAAGTTGTGAATTTGATTTTCTTTATTTGCAATAAGATTCTGTAGAAAATCTATAACCCTCATTTTTGGTTTTATATATCCCCTCTACATTAAAGAGAGAACCTCACAATACTGTTCATTAGTGAGTTTCCCCACTCAGAATACTGTTCACCATTCATTTTTCTGCTGCCGTGTTCACATCCGGTTTTCGCATTATTCACTAACTAGCTTCCACTGTTCATCAAAATATCTTCCTTATAAAGTGCATTTTGCTTTCTCTCCTCACATGTTCTCGTGCTTTTTGATCAGCTCCTTTCTCCACACACCAAATCAAACCCAAGAAAGGTAAAATCTCTTTTGCCTGTGCTTTTATGTATATCATTTCGAGAATACGAAGACTGTGTGTTGGGGTCTTCAGATTTTTCTCATAGAGTTTATAAATTTTAGGGTTTGTTTTTTTTTTTTTTTTGGTTTAGATTTCTGGATGCGTTTAGGTTTCCTTGGGTCTTTGTTCATTCGTGCGATTCGTCCTTTATGTTTTGCTCATTTTTTTTGTAGATTTAATATAGCCTTCGATTATTTTGTGAGTGGCAAGAAATCTCCACAGATTTGTATGGTTTTTGGCTTTGATTGGATTCTTTTAGGTTTGGTCAAGATCATACACCATCTCTAGGACATTCTTAACATCCTTCGATTTTCTTGTCTACTTAAGTTGTCCTTCAAATCTCTCAGCGGATTTCCCATAGATTCGGTGACCTTTCGCAAATTTTGAAAGAAATTTCCATGGATTTGTCTAGCTTAAATTTGGTGGAATGCTGATTCAGAAGCTATTGAATTTGTGCATGGTCGGCAACTTTGTTTGTAACTGTTGAATCAGTATATCATTTATTTCTACATGCAAAGCACCATCTTTGACAAAATGGTTATGATATAACTTATAAGGTTAATTTTCTCTACTCATTCCCCACCCCTTTCTTTGGTGTCTGTGTAGACTTGGTAATTAATTGGTTGTACATCTTTTGGGAGGACAAGCTGCAATAATTTATACCATGTGTCGCGGTAAAGCCGTTGCAGGTGATGTAAAATTTTATATATATTTGTGGCATAAGTGGTTTCCATCTATGAGTGTCTCTTTCCATCTTGTGCTTTCTGTTTTATATTGGCTGCTACAATCACTTCTTTAGATATAGGGGTTGCATAAATCTTTGCACTTCTTGTGTTGTAAAAAAATATAGTCTTTTTTCCTGCCCCTTTTGTCCACCCTTTTGTTTGCCTATATTTTGCTTATATTTCCTTTCAAGCATTACAAGAAATTGCTTCCTGAAAATTTTCCAAAATCCTCTGTAAGTATGCACATTTTATGCTTTTTTAGCCATTCAATTCGGTTGGCTAAAAGTTAAAAAAATATAATTAATAAACAATAATGACAATAATAAACCTATGAAAAAAAACTCTTTAATCTACTCGTGCTGTGTCCCCTGAATCCAGGATGGTTCTTCTCTCTCTCTAACCCTTTTCCTTTGGGTTAGAATATTGTACGAGGTTTATATAAGTCCAATATTCAGCACATTTAGCTATTTTCTTTCTCTCTGTTATATTAGTTGAAACCAAAGTAGTTTGCATTGACGAATGAATTCAATCGTAAAGGGACCGAGTGCAAGACCCTGAATGTTAATGGAAAATGTTGTTTTTCCATTCAAATTCTTACTTTTGTACCGTTTGATTAATATTTTTCATGGAAAATATTTTTTTATTTTTGGTTATGTGATCATATTGTCCTTATATACTCCTTGAAAACATGGAAAATATTTTATTTAGTGGTTTATTTTTTAGTTAATTCACTATCTCTTTCTCTTTCTCTTTCATCTACCCCTCTCTTCCATTCACCTACCGATAAAAAATGGAAAAGTGTTTTCATTTTCTAGGTTGAAAATAAAATCAATCATACACATTTAGTTGACAATTTTTTTCATGCAAATAATTCATAGGCAATTCAATTGTCTAGAATTTATTTTCTTTTCATATAAATTTCATACTTGTAATCAAATGCACTCTTAATTTAATTCGTGAATTTGACCGAATACAACTTTAGGAATCGCACTTAAGAAATGAAATTAAAGGGGACAACGGTGAAATCAAGAGCCCTAATACTATACATATATACATGAGTAGAAGCCCTAAATTAATTCTTGTGCACTTTTTAATCCTTTAATAGATTGATAATTTTTAGGATTACAATTAAAAATCACTCTTAATTGGATTTATTCGAATTGAAGATATATATAGTTTAACTAATATTTATATAGATAGTTCTCCTGAACGCAATTATTTGGACTCTTCACTTCATTACATATGAAATGACATTGTATACTTGCAATAAAAATCGCACAATAGCAAGTAATGAATGGTAATTATCATAATTTCAATTCAATATCTAATTTGCAATTGGAATTCCTTTTAAGTTGAAATTTTTGAGGCAAGATTCCGCCAATCTTCACATTGTCAAAAAACAAGTCTAAACCCTACCATCTCTTCTGCAGCGTTTCATCACAATACTTAAAAAAGAACAGTAAGCATTAACAAACTCAATTCTTAAAGCAGCTTTTCCATCATATGATTGTAATCACTTATAATCAATACAATCATGCTACCATGTAGAAAATTTTGACAAACAATACATGGTGATGATTTATTGGAGAGTGGAAAAAAATAAAAGACAAATCAGTTGTTGCCATGATAGCATATATATGAATTATATTAAAGATTTCTTGTACTTTGGCTTTTTCCCAATTATTAGCTAAAATTTCATTGGCTCATTCGTAACAAACCCGTTAAAAAATTATATAGCAACTCCTTTGCTTGACTTTTCAGAGAGCTCATTTGTATATCAACATCAACTCTACCATATATCCTCCATCAATGTTAAGTCAATGCCCATGTGCAAACATGTGAATTCACTAGTATTAACATCTTCTCTATCATAGCAACTAGATATGTTAAGGGTGAACAAAGTTCGATTTTGATGGTTTATGACAAATTTTCAAACCCAATCACTTAAAGCGATTTAGAATTTTTTCAAATTAAATCAAATCACTTCAATTTATAAATGAAGCCAACTCAATCCAAACCTTTTTTTTTTATTTGATTTGATTCGGTTTAAAACCACGGTTAGACAAGAAAGAAAAAAATTATATCAAGTAAGTTAAATCATAAATATTAGTCTAAAATCTCACGTTAAAACGTAAATAATGTTATTAAAAATATTTCAAACCAAATTCTATAATTCTAAGCATTATAATACAACAACATAATGGAAATATTTTAAAATATTTGTCGTTACTAATTGGCACAACTTTTTCAATTGTAATATATGATTCGTTCTTTTCATAAAGATAATAATATAGCACACGAATTCATTGATTATAGTTAAATGATATAAAATAATTAATAAAAGAAAATGAATATAAATATTAAATACGATAATACATTATATAACTTTTTATAAATTGTCAAATGCTTCTACCTCATCCAAATTTAACAAATCATTATTGGTTCATTGCTAATATGCAACCAATTTTTAGGGAAAATTATCACCTCAACCATAATAGC